CAAGTTTAACCTGGAAATTTATAACAGTTTAACCTGCACAGGGACCACCAGATTTCCTGCCGAGAAGGTGTGGCATACAACAGCTCCTCATTATGTAGTCCTTCTGCTATGGACCACAACACTGGCAAAATGTCTAACTGTGGACAATCTGTACAGAAGAGATATGGTGGTTGAGAAGTGTGGGCAAGCTACTGAGTAGGTGAATCACCTGCTTATGCATTGCAGGATTGCAAGAGGAATGGGTGTTCACATGTTAAACCCTTCAGATACAGTGTTGTTCCCTGCAAAGTTAGAAGATCTTCCTAATGTTACTGACAAATGAAAGGACTGAACAAGAGGGGGAAAACCATATTTGGGGGGGACTTATGGGGGCAAAATTTACTATTGGGTGGCTACTCAGAGATGTTTCAAGCATGTTTACTATAGTACTTTTGTATCTAATGTCATTGACTGATTTGTATAGGAGAAATACTGCTATTAATCTTATTGCCCAGTATTGTTTTTGTATACATTTTTGAACATCAAGGAAACACTTTAAACTTTTCTTCAAAAATAAATAAATAAAACCTTTATTGTTACTGATAAAGAGGTTTTCTTTTAATTGATAACTCTAATAAAGAGGTGCTTGAGAAAAGTGGACACAAGCAATGGCTATACAGAGACTGAAATACAATTATCTTATTAAAGAAGCTCAAAAGAAATAATAAATTTTTCTTCATAGTAGTAGTAGTAGTAGTATATCTTCCTGAGCTCCTTATCCTTGTTATCCTTTCCCCCATTTTCAATTTACAATTACTTGGTAGCAGCTTTTAAGAATCTTTGATCCTTGCTACTAATAAAAATTTCAAGGTCATATGAAAAAGAAATTTGTGTTGTTCACTAGACTGGCATTAGTTTTCCAAATTTTGCACTTTAATTTCTGGAAATAGAATTTATATACTATTAAGTAACTCCACTTACCCTCTCCCCTTCAGCAGACATGGTCAAGGCCAAAATTGAAAGAATATCAGCAAGGTATTTCTGAAATCAATAGGGAAAAGTGTGAACCAAGCTATCTCGGAAAGAACTACCACAAAATGATAACCAGGAAATTCAAACCTTTACATCTGACTCCCCCATTGTTTCATAATATGCCTTTAGGGTTCCATAGTGTGACCTAAGAAACTTCAATGGCTTAGGAACAGAGGTCATAGAGCTTGTTGAAGTTCGGATCTCCTGCCTACGATAAAAAGATAAATTGTAGTTAGGATAGGATAAACCCAAACATAGGAGACCTTTCAAGTTTATGTATCATTGTCCTCAAATTACAGAACCGTATACAGTTTCAATTATCAGCCATATATGAGCAACGTGGTCATAAGCTCTAGTGTCTCTGATTTTTTTTTTGATCAATCTAGTGTCTCTGATTCCTGAACACCCTTTCTAACATAACCCAGAGATAGGAAGCACATTTGTCTAATTAGCGCCCAGTCATGACTAGGGCTTGCTATTTTACAAATGAGTTGTTGATTCTTCAAAAGGAAAATTATTTCAGTAAATCACATGAGAAGTATAAGACAATATTTTCAAACGTTACAGAGTGCAAAACTTAACACATTGATTGGAAACGATGTTTGGAAATATGATGCTAAAAAAGCAAACCATTTACAAAACAATTTCTTCTAAGCTAATACCAATTATACAAACTATCGATACATATGGTCATTCCTCCGAAGTCCAACCGATGGGCTACTTCTTAGGTTGGTCATATACCAACAGAATCACCCTAAGCATTTATACGAACTTTGAATTACTGCATTGAAAATTTCTTGTTGTTTGGAGATCAAGAACAAGTACCTCATGCTTTCTAGAGCAAGCTTCTGCACACCAGGATCCGAATCCTGAATCCTCTCGACATACAGCTCCAACTGCTGCTTCAACGCCAAGTCCTCATCCGACTGTAATTATCAGATAGAAGAAATTGTAGAAGATTAGAAAAAAATCCAATCAAAATGACGAATAAATGAAAAGTAGAGCTTTCGACTTACAAGATCCTCCTCGTTCTTCTCGTTATTCTTCTTCTTTGGATCTTTGGACGGGACCTTCAAGGACGCCTCGTCTAGGCTTCTACCAGAGTTAGGGTTAGGGTCCGTTGTCATCTTCAGAGCTTCAATTCAGAGAACGGACTGGTTTGAGAGGAAGAGGAGAGAGTCGAGCTTCAGTGTAAAAGGAAGACCGGAAAAGGAACGAGACTACGCGGGTGACGGTGGAAGACGCAACACTAATTGCTATATGTAAGTTTAACGAGTGCAAAATGCAAGGGTCTGTTTGGTTTCTTGGAATAGATGCCTGGAATTGGAATGGAAATGACCCATTCCGATCCCTACCATTTATGCAGGAGAATGGCCACTTCAGGCCTCCCATTCCAATAGTCGGCAAAAAAGTAAAAAAAGAAAAATGCAGGACAAAAAGCCTCACAAAGGTTAATCTTAATAAAATAATAAAATATTATTATATTAAGAGCAAATCTTATATATCTATACCGGTTTCGGGTCGACGGTTTGAACGTACAATTCGAACAGATGACTCGTTAACAACAAAATTTAAAAAGTAAAAAATTATAGAATCGTTTTGGCCACCGGTTTTCGGATCGACGGTTTTACCGTTTGGTTCAAACGGCTCACCCGTTTTGACAACAAAAATTACAGGGAAAATTTTGAGTGTGTGAGGTCCATTAAGTAGTATCATATGTGTTATGTCATTCGAGCGCATGACTCATACAACCCAAAAATGAAACCGTTCTGGCCACTGATTTACAGGTCGATGGTTCGATCATCTGGTTTGAATGGATAGCCCATTTTAACAACAAAAATTAAAAAAATGGCCAAAATCCATTGACCGGATCAACAGTCGACTGCTTAAGCCAATGGGTCGTTGACCAATTCAACGGTTTTTGGCCAGGGATCAAGATTGGGGTAAAACGGAATTGATTGTCTAGATGGTTCCCAATTAAAAAAATAAAAAAAGGCGGTTCGACCGTTCGGTTCGAACAGATGACCCGTTCAAACAAAAAAAATTACAAGCAAAAAATTGAGTGTGTGAGGTCCATTAAGTAGTATCATACATTTTATGTCATTCGAGAATGTGACTCATACGACCCGAAAACAAAACTGTTCTAGTCACCGGTTTTCGGGCATGTGACTCATTTGAGCATGTGACTCATACGACCCGAAAACATAACTGTTCTAGTCACCGGTTTTCGGGCATGTGACTCATTTGAGCATGTACTCGAATGGACGGCTCGTTCTGACAATAAAAATTAAAAGTGGCCAAAACCATTGAACGTGTCAACAGTTCGACCACCCAGGTCAATGAGTCGTTGACTGATTCAACGGTTTTTTGCCAGGGATTGGGATTGGGAGAAAACGGAACCGGTTGCTTTGATGGTTCCCAATTAAAAATAAAAAATAAATAACGGCCAAAAACCATTGAACGGGTCAATGAGTTGACGGTTTGACCGCCCAAGTCAATGGGTCATTGACCGATTCAACAGTTTTTTGCTAGGGACCGGATTGGGGTAAAACGGAATCGGTTGCCTGGACGGTTCCCAAGCCAAAATGTCCCTCCATTCGGGTCAATAGTGGTTTGAAAACCATGGTTTTTTATGCTTTTGGATTTTCACTATTCAAAAGTTTCTTCTACCGTGGGCTTTATTCGAGCGTGTGTGGTATGTTCATTTTTTTCATTTTCTGCTTTTGTGTGTGTATGTGTGTGTGTTGGTCTTGTGTGTGTGTGTGTGTGTTGGTCTTTTTCTTACAAGATGATCTGTTTTGTTTCTTTCTTTAATTACATGTATGTTTAGCTCCGTCTTAAAGGGGAACTTTGGACTCAATTTTCTGATTTTTTTCCTTGGTTTTTCGAGTTTGGTGGATTTACCGCTATTTTTTTATGTGTTTAAGGTCACTTTGAATTCATCTTTCAAGGTTTGGGAATCCCTTGCAGTGTCCACTAGACCTGTTCACGGGCCGGGTTTCGAGCTTGACTTTACACTATGTCGAGCTCGGGCTTCAAGCCAGGCCCATTCAAAATTTGGCAAAAGCCATGCCCGAGCCCGGCCCATGAACAGGTCGAGTGTCTACCCTTCCCATTACTATGACTACAAAGTTATTTCGTCTAATTATTGACATCTAGAAAAATGACCCAAAAACAAACCCGTTCTGGCCACTGGTTTCCAAGTCGACGGTTTGACTGTCCGGTTCGAACAGATGGCCCATTCTGACAAAAAAATAAAAAAATAATTAAAAATAATTAAAAATAAAAAATGACCAAATTATTGAATGGGTCAATGGGTCGACGGTTCGACCGCTTTGGGTCAATGGGTCATTGACTAATTCAATGATTTTTTACTAAGGACCGGGTTTGGGGTAAAACAGAACTAGTTGCCTAGACGGTTCCTGGGCCAAACTGTCCTACCGTTTGGGTCAACTAGGAGTTCTTCATGTAAAACAAAGGACAACTATAAAGTATAACTCAGAACTATCACTGTATAATCGTGTTCTCTTATATGAAATTCTTTGCTAAAGCAATATTTAAAAAACGAGCACATGATGGTCTCTTTTAAATCTTTATATGAGTTTCAACACTTGAGTACTTATAATTATAAATTTTTTATTAAGAAACTATTGTCTTTTTCTAATATAGCAAATAGCAATATTACAATTCCATTCTAGACCCTACGAAGCAGGGTCCCTCCGCTAGTTTCTTAAACTACTCCAATTGATAATTACCATCATCGGTATATCTTAATTAAACATACGAAATGTCCATTTTGCTCTTAAATCAAATACCGCACTACCTCTAATTCTCTCTCTCTCTCTGTTCTCTTTAAGTTACCCCAATTGTCCATTCGGACATTGTTTTTGCAATTGTAATTGCAGCGGAAAGCCCATACAAGCATGCCAAGATCATCGTCAGTAGTGTGAACAATCTCGATTTGTTGTTTCCTCCCTATTCAGATTTAGAGCCACTGCCAATAAACTCATTGGAGACGTCAGCTAGAATCCCCGTATTGATTTCACAGTAATCAGAAAATCACTATCAAAATGAGGAGAATTTTGAAAGATGTTCAGCAAGCAACTTAGAGTAGCAGAGAGTGGAGAGAATTACAGGAGAGTTTAGAAACGGAAATGGGTGTCGTATAGCTCACATTTGATGGACAACTTCGAAACGTCAGAAATGACAATCACCACCTATGCCGTTGTGGCATTACAGCTTAGAGCAATCGACGAGGCACAATTTCTGTGAGTTAGAGGGCAGGCTTATGTGAGTCGACAAATAGGCTTCCGTTAGGGCTGTTCATAAGAAGGCCCAACCCGACCAACCCGAACCGACCCAACCCGAGTCGGCCAGGTTTTCATCAGCACCGGTCGGTTTCGGGTTGGGCAAAATCATAACCGGATATATCAGGTCGGTTTCGGTTTTCTTATGTGAAAACCGAAACCGACCCGAACCAATTAGTTTTCTAGTTCGGTAGTTCCTAGTTTCCTACTTAACTAGTCTTCTACTAGAACTAGAACAGCCCTATCTTCTAGTTCTTACTTAACTAAATTGTATCTATCCTAATTTCTATAGTCTTTTACACCAAATAGGCAACCCATTAGGCAATTACAATTAGAATTAGGTGTCCTTCTAGTTCTAGGCTTCTCTATCATTTTTTTACATGAGCAAAACCGAAACCGACCAGGTCGGTTTTGCCTATCAGTGGGTCGGTTTCGGTTTCCACCTCATGTAACCCGACCAGGTCGGGTCGGTTGGAAAAAACCCTATAAACCAACCCAACCCGACCCATAAACAGCCCTAGCTTCCGTGAGTTAGTGGGCAGGCTTTTGCTAGATGGCCATACAATTTTCCTGAATTGGCGAGGCCCAATATCTATTCGATAACTCATGAGGTTGAGCCACCTATAGTATTTTATAGAGCTCTCTTTGATCAATGTCATAGATTAGAGTTTCAGCACCTATGGCATTCACTCCACTGCTAGCATGGGTGAGTTCAAAAACTACAACCAATTCGTGAACTACCCAAATTAGGGAATGAATCATTCTCCAGCTACAAAAGTGACGACAACAGTGTGATAGCCAAATTCAAGAACTACGCCAAGGACTCGAATATCATCATTTCGACCTTTACGCTGCGTTTGGAAATAGTGTAAAATATCATCAGTGTAAACACTGAATCAGATAGTGACCATTGCTTTTTTTGAAAATAGTGATGGGTGGAAGAGTGTAAAGTTTTACATCGATTATCAATGTAAAATTTTAGAGGTGATGAGGTTTTACATCTATTATCGACGTAAACTATACTCCATCTAAACGCATACGAAACTAAACCGGAGTGTAATTTTATGTCTATAATAATGATACCCTCTTTCAAAACGCATACAAAACTGAACCGATGTAAAATTTTCATCACATCCAAATGGCGCAAATGACACGTTCACGTCTTAGTGTGCCCAGAAATGTTCTTGAGCTCTGCGAGAGCTTTACTCCATGGATCAGCTCTCCCTCTCACTAAACTCCATTGCGCCACCAGGGCAATGCAGCAGGAAGCCAACCATAATCACCCAAGATGTGTTGACATGGCTGTGTGTGGCTCTGACGAATCAGGGCACCAGCACTAAAGGGATGAGTGGCACGAATGGGTATGTGAAGACCTAGATGGAAAACCAACTGAAGGATTTGACAGAGTTAGTGTACTCGGGAGGGGACTAGGACTTTTCCGGCGTTCCCATACAAAACTAACAAAGACTGTTGGAATGTAGTAGCAATTTTTAGATGGAAGATGGCATTTCGGCCTGGCTAAGAAGAAGAAGAAGAAGAAGAAGAAGAAGAAGGAGGAGAAAAAGAAGAAATAGAAAGATAAAGGGAAGAGAGAGAGATCGGAGGAGGAAGGGGGTGACGGTGTTCTGCCATTGCGTCAAAAGGAAGGGAATGAAGGTAATATTTGGGTTTAAAAAATAAATGTCACATGGTGCCAGATGTGTATGGAATATTGACGGATGCTAACAATAGAGGTAGAAATAATCAATTGTCAAAAATAGAAGGGATAGCTTAAGACAATAGTTAAATAGTAAGGGTATAGTTTGTCAATTAGCTAACCATTAGAGGTAGTTCAAGAAATTTGTCCTTAAATTAATAATAGCATAATAAATAAATAATATTATATTAATAATAAAATAATAATATAATTAATATTAATAATTAAATAACAAAATATTATGAAAGTAATAATAAGACAATAATAATAATATAAGAATATATTAATAATTAAAATAAAATGCAAAGATATTGTTTATTAAATAATAATTAAGTACAAATAAAATATTAATATATTATAA